AAAAGGGCTGTGAATATTATTCACTCCTGTTTGTTGAACCCTTCCTCTCATCCAATTGACTGTGCTCAGTTCCCAGTAGCTCTCCTCAATTGCCACCTATTACCAGGAACCTAGACTGTAGCTATTTCTGTTCCTGACAGGAACAAAGAACAACTGGAAGCTCTTTTCTTGTTAAAAGGATACCCTAAATGCAAATAGGCAGCAGCACAAAACGTGACTTGCTTATCAATCCTAATGGAGGCACAAAATAGTCAAAGAGTGTAGAGCCTTTCCCCACTCTGCAGGCAGCACTGTGCACAGCCCAGGCTGAGATGGGCTTTGGGGCATCACTCCTATGTTTTACATCAATCACCTCAATGCAAAGTAGGTTAGTTCACAGACCCTCCACTACATTAAACTTCATTTTACCTCTGCTACAAGGACAGATTGTTCAGCATCTGCCTTTGCTTCTAAGGCACTATTAATAATATTAGAGTATGTCTCAGTGACAGTCACCAGCATTAAGTCTGTACTGAAATGCCATTCATTTAAAGATGCAGATAAATCTTACACACATTTTTTATTCAGGGCACACAGAACTCAAAAACAAACAGCCTCTAACTATGCTATTCATTCTGTGAGCACAAGGCTACTGTTTGTTTTAATCCTGCTGCAAAAAGCAATAGATATGACTCGATCCCTCTCCTACCCTGGCCAAATATCATGGCCCACAATTCAGGCACCCGTGCAAGCTGGAGCTCCAACCTAGACACAGGACAACAACCAGCAGCCAGCAGCTGGGAAAGCATGGATGAGCCCCGTGAGCACACAGCTTGGTGAGCATGGGATGGCCCCATGGGCACACAGCTTGTGGCACGACCTCCCTAGCAATCCTGCAAGAGAGGTCCTCACACTGGGCAATCCCATTGACACTGATTTCTCCAGGACAACTTCCCCAGCCTGGCAACTCACAGATAGGCTTTTCACAGATTTGTACATTTATCTAATTGTTCTTTCATTGGTTCTCAAAGAAAACTAAGAGTTTACCCTCAGCAATTACTACCTAGACTAAAAAAATAGAAGAATTTTTGCCCATTAGGCCCCATCATATGCCCAGTCTTTCACCACAGTCACTGTGGCTGACTGAAAAGCCAAGCCCCAGGAGCAGAAAATGAAGCACCTAGAAGCAGCATAGGTGCTGTGTTCAGCAGTGCCTCTCCAAAAGCAGCCTGAGAAATGGGAGCAGCTTAGAAAAAGTGATGCAATAAGCAGAATTTGATACTGCAAACACTATGTTGCCTAATCCCTGGCCTACAGATCTGTCCTGTTAGGCTATTTAGGTCACATGTATTTGCTTCCCTTGGTATTATTTCTGAATTTTACCTGAAATGGAGCTCAGTTACAGGAATTGTATTTTACCATACCATATGTCAGTATATTTCAACTCAAATTGTGTTTGAGATAACCTGAGTGGATTTCTGGAAAGAAAAACATAAGCCTTACTTTGCAGTAACACTTCTCCAGAACTCAAGAGGCATGCTTGAAATAACTGGATTTGAAAAGGCCAGCAGAAGTATTACTTCAGTGCAGCTGAAACAAATAATATTTGCTTAGTAGAACATGAATCCAGGATCTTGGCACAACAACCTTCTTTTCCTCAAACAATTGTCTGGGGTTTTTTTTAATTTAAATTGAGATGTGATCTTCCAACCAGTGAGCACCACTGAACACAGCTGATCAGACTACCCAAAACAGGATTTTTACTTGAAAGACACATTTATGCCCCCATATTTTTATGCTGTTTCAGAAGTTCCGAAAGCTCCTGAAGATAATATTTCTTAACTCTGAGTAGCTGTTTGCTAATGCCAGGAGATTGATTTTCTTCTTGCTGCTGACTCTAACAGAAGCATTGAGGCATCAGGAGTTTTTCCAGGCTGAAGTATCCAGTTGCCTTTTGTTTGCTTATGCAGGTGTTTTACGTAATTGCCCCAATAAGGCTGACGCTCACGGAAAGCAGCTGCAGCACAGGCAGCGTTCTAGGTGTTCACCACTTACAGCTTAGCTGGCCTCTAAGAGCACAGGAAAACAAGCCCTATGTTTTCTAGGCAGGCTAATTGAAGTGTTCAAATTATATTATAGCTTTGCATTGTTAATATCCCAAAACAAAAAACGAATCAAATACTCTAAAATAAAGAGATACACTAAAATGGGGGGAGCCCACCAAAACTGTTTTCCATCTAGTGTTACAGTCATGTCTAGTCTTGTCTAATATACCTGAATAGGTATGTAATTCAAAGTTCTTATATTAAAGAAGAAAACTACCAAGAAAAACCTGAATCTAAGTTATTTACCAGAGAAATGTAGGCAAAGTCCCTCTATCCTTCCCAGGCTTAAACTCTGCCTTTGAATTGGGTCTGCAAGTATTCTACTGCTTTTTTTTGTCCCCCTCTAACTTGCAGGCCTATCATCAAACTTCCATGAGGAGGCTTTCTCAGAAATATATCATTTTTAAAGAGTCTTAAATAACAGCTGAGTTTCCTTTCAACCAACCAAAGAGGTGGCCTTCACCTGTTTAAATACTTGAACAGATGAGCTCAGCTGGAAACCTATCTTCCTGTGACAGGAAGGGAGAACTTTTTTAAGGACTTAACTCCTTTCCTGCCTGAGAAAAGACGAGACTTCAGAAGCACATTTCTATTATGTCAGTAACTGCAGTATGCCCACTGGGCTGCAGAAGAGAAGGCTCAGGGAAGATCTCAATGATATATATCAATATCTGCTGGGAGGGAGTGGAGAGGATGAAGCCAGGCTTTATTCAGCAGTATCCAGTGACAGGACAAGAGGCCACAAGGACAGATTAAAATACAGGAAATTTTACTTATGCAGAAAAAAGACCCCCTTTTCTGCTGGTAAGGTGGTAAAACACTGGAGTATATTTCCCAAGCACATTTTGGAGTCTCCATCCTTGGAGACACTTTAAGCCCAATATAGGATGTGGTCCTGGGTGACCTGCTGGAGCTGACTGTGCTTCCAGCAAGAATCAGGTGATACAGTCCCCAAAAGCCCCTGCCCCACCTCAAACCTCCCCATCATTGTGTCCCTGCAGGGCAGCACTGGCATGGCACAGGGCAGAGATACCCAGCACAGTGTGACTGTACATGCTCCTCTGAGGCCTGAAACTGTTCTCTCCATGTGAATATACCTGTGAAGAGACCCTAAACCCCAGGAACTAAATGTGATGCTGGATGAGTGACAAGCCTGAGAGGGAGCCTCTGCCCTCCTTCAGAAGACCACATGCAATAACGAATTAAATTGGCGCTTTTTTTTTTTTAACATTATTCATTCTTCCTTGAAGTCACATTTTTAAATTTCACTTCTTGCCACTTCCTTTAAGTTTTCCTTTATGGTCAATTTGCTGAGATTCAAGGATAAAAGTGACAGTGCATCTCCTCCATCTGAGCAGTGTGTCAGTACATTTAATTCCTTCCCTTAGCACAAAGGGATTATTATTCCATTTTATTTCAGTTGGCTGCTGGGAATACACCCAGCCATTCACCTGTGTGAGTTGTCCTTTGTACAAGGATTCTGTTTTTAGAAGCATCTCACGTGAGTTGGATCAAGGATTAGCAGCAGGCATTTCTGAACACTTGTGGTCACAGTTAACATCCTTTGGGCTTTTTCCACTATCAGAAGGAATTTTCTGCTATCCTTCTGAAACAGAATCAAGTTATTCATTGTCCAAGGAATACCACAGTCTCCCTGTGAGCAGTCCCATGATTTGCAGACCAGACTTTTGCCAGAATAGGCCAGAGGGAGATCCTGCTAAAATCTCTGTGAAATAGCATTTAAGATGTGTATTTGGACACTAGGAAGGCCCCATTTCTACAGTCTCAAAGGGAACACAAAAGTAAACCTTTGTTTTCTCTGCCCCTTGCTTGCATGGATTGATGCTCCATTAAGGCTTATCTGCCTTCATGTAATGAAGCCTGCAATTTATTCAAGGGAGGCAGCAACACACCTGGACTTTCAAGACACTTTTGCCTCCTCCCACTAATTTATCCATTTTACCCTGCCCCAAGTAAGCCTCATTAAAAAAAAAAAATTAAAAAAAAGGGAAGATGGTCTCAAGCATGCTGGAGTTCTGCACTTTTGTGTTTCCCGTTTCCCCTGGCACTGAAGCAAGTGCTTCAGCCACTCACCACTTGGTGACAGGATAGATTGATTGCACTAATTGTATGACAATGACTTGAGCAAGGTATGCATGAAGTCATTAGCTGAAGCGGGAATTCAGTGCCGAGGTCCCAAACTGTCCTTTGTCCTTGCTGCACTGATATCTTATCTGCTTCACAAAGGATTCAATAGCTGAATTGCTGAGGGCTGTGGCTCTCAGGAACATTCCTGATCAAAACGCAATTACCTGGCAACTTGATTCTGTGGGCTGTGAAACCGACCATGGAAAGGGAAGGTAAAAGAGATGCTGACCGTGCTGCAACCTCACCCAGGCTTTTCAAGTGTGATACTGTAGGTGTGTGTAAAGAGAGCCCTGCCTCCAGTGGCTTTTAGCTGCTGCTCAGAAGCTGATCTTGTTATCCTCAACACAAACTTACACCGGCTTTGGGAATCCAACTCCACCTGTTGTAAAAGACCTCATTCTCCCTCCGAACACTGGGCTCATTAAAACATTCATTTGTGCAGATATGAGTGCTGTCAAAATGGTCCATTGAACTGATGTTGTACTAAGGAGCAGCAATAGTGTGTGCACAGACTGTTAGCCACTTAGGGACCAGGTAGAGGGAAAAACATTTCCACCTGAAGTTTATGGCCTGAAAGCCATAAACAGGGACAGCCTTGACTTGGTAACAGTCTAATCCTTTATCATAAAGGCAAACTAGCCCTTCTCCCCTCTCCTGTCAATATCTCAGTTTGAAGTGTTAAACAGCAAAACAAGGCACAAGAGCATGACAGTAAAACCAAGCAAGGTAGTGCTTTTAAGTATTCTTTAAAAAACCAGCCCAACGACATAAAAGTCAACCTAAAAGTTTATTTAGTAGAAAACTTTCAGAAGACAAATTGTTTGAATATTTGAAGCACTACACTGCCAACATACTCATTAAAGACAATTCCCGTTCTCCTAAGGTATAATCCCGTTTCATACTGCACCCTTTATTTGTTGCTTTCATCCTGACAGAGAGGCTGTACAGCTCTTCTTCTGCAATGCCATCAAAAAAGAAGTCCTCATTGAAGATGGGATTTCTACTTCTCTTTATAACTGTGCTTCTCTGCTTCTGTGTTTTCCCTGGCACCAGAGAGAAGGAGATACAGCAGTTTATGGTTTTGGGCTCTACAGAGTCATCATATAAACCCTCAGCACTGATCAGGCGGATCCGCAGCCTCTCGTTCTCTGAGCAGTACTCAGCTGACAGCCTCAACATGCCTCCCTTGTCCATTACCACAGTACTCTCTCCCACCAGCCTCTCCCGACTGCAGCTCAGGTCCACTGGAAACAGGGGAGAACAGGAGGTGCTAAAACCCCGTATGCCAAGCAGCCCCTCAGAGGACCTCCTGATGGCACTGGGGCTGTTATCAGTGGAGCTGCTGTCCTCTGTAGAGAGAGAATTGTTCCTGGGCATACTGTGTTTGCTTTTGTCTTTCAGTGCTCTGCAGAGCAATCCCTCCTGACTTTGTGCTTTGATCAGGGAGCAGGGTCTGGGAGGTGACCTGTTGAGAAGTGGAGAACTGAAAGGAGAGGAATCACTGGAAGAGGCAGTGTCGCTGTCACAGGCACCTTGCCTGTGCAGAGTGAGATGCTTGGGTGGCAGTCTCACAGAAGCAAAGTTGATAGCAATGGGATTAGACATGCTGCCTTTGCCACTGAAGGTGTTAGCCCTGGATCGAGACAGCTTCAGGCTGGGCAGAGCCGCACGTGGATCACCATGGAAGATGGACTCCTTCCTCCTGGTGTGGGGACTCTCCAGCAAAGTGCAGAAGCCATAGGAAGTGGAGGCTCTGGGAAAGTGGGGCAGGGACAGCGCTGCTTGGGACTGTGGGTCTGCATTGGTGCTTTCTTCCTCCAGGGCTGAGATCTCCTCTTCAACACTTTCCACCTGAATGAGATGTGGGCAAGAGCTGGGGCTATAATCAGAAGTAAGAGCTGCATCCACTGAGCTGTGATCCTGGTGGAAGCCACTGCCCTTAATGGAGCCAGAGCTGGTCAGCCTGGGGGGAATGCAGAATTCAGGGATTCTGTCAGGAGTGATCACATTTGGAAAAGCAGCAGCCCTCAGCTGGGCCTTTTCTGGCAGATTTTGGCTTTGTGGCAGTCCCAGGAAGGAAGAGCTGGGGAGGTTTCCATTTTCATGTGATGGTCTGATCTTTTCCAACAACCACATCACTGTAGCTGGGCAGGAGGTCCTCAAAAGGGGAAAAGTTTGAAGGAGAAATCCACCTGCAGACACACAGAGAGGAAAAGGTACATGAACATCCTTTTTGGACACACTACAGCCAAGCAAGGCACAAGGGTGTCATTCAAGGCAGGACTAGCACAAGCCCATGATCAAAAGAGCCCCTGCTCAGCACACTCACTACCTTTAGCAAAATCAAACGGTACAAGAACAGAACTAAGCCACTAAACAGAGAAAACAGCATCGAGTCACTACCAGAGGAAAACGTCCCTGCCGCATAATCCCTACCGTGCTTTTCCCTTCGCAGAGGACGCACCTTGAGAAGCGCAAGCCGTGTTGTTTGCAGCAGCCGGGCTCGGTGTCAGCAGCTCGAGCAGCCCCGCGCAGCCCGCCCCGGGCCCTTTAGTAGCCGCGCCGGGCGCCTCCCCGGCGCGCCGCGGCAAGGGGCGGGGGCTGCCGCCCGCACCTCCTCTTGCGGGGGGTAGAGGAGGGAGAGCAGCGCCGCAGCTACCCTGCAGGCACTCTGCTGGGCACCGGGACCATGTCCGGAGCAACGGGGAGGGACTTGCCAAAGGGGCCTCTCACGGGAAAGAGCTTTTTGACCGTCTTCTCTCGCCCCCGCAGAGCAGCGGATGTTCCCGGCGCTTGGCACTCGCCTGCGAGCGCGGGGGGACGGGGCTGCCCGCGCCCGGCCCCAGCCCCTTGCCCTTTCCCTGCGTCCAGGTTCTTTTTGATTAATATCTACTTACAGAGGCGTCCCGAGGTGTTTCGAGATAACTAACAAACCCAGGACAAAAGCAACATTGTCTTGGGGATTCTTTTCTTCTGGAGATCCTGGCAGCTTTCCAGCGGTAGAGCAGTAGGAAGTGGGGATTGCAGTTTTCAAGCTCATTTGAGAACTTTGCTGCCTTCTACATCTGAATGTGTGTCCACCCCCTCGTTACTCACAAAGAACACGGAACCCTGACACAGCGCTCTTATTACTGATGCTGAGCAGCAACAGAAAAGCGAATGCAGGTGCAGCGAGGAGAAAGACAAGGCACGAAATGCTTTGGCAAGTCACCTTGAAAAGCAGCATTTCAAACACCCAGGCCCACGGGACGCTTTACAGACCCTGCCCAAAGCCAGGTGGGATCCATGAACTTCCTCACCAAGGCAGCAGAGCATGAACGGACCTCTGCAACTCTGTAATTATTCTGCAAGCTACGAGTAACAATCTTTAAGGCAAAGCCAGGAAGGCCTGCCAAACTGGTTGGCTAAATACTCATCTGAAGCCTATAAGACAGGGATAGTAGACAAACAATATTCTTCTTCCCCTCTTCCGCTGAAGAGCTGAAGTGCGTGTTTACAGAGTGCTTGAAATAGACGAGATGTGCTCAGAGAAAATAAATCCCGTGGGCAACAGGGGCAGGGAACATTTTGAACCTGCTGAAAGATTTAGCTGGGTACACACATGTCCTGGGTGTGAGCCCTGCTTCTCTCCTTTTTTTATACCAGTTAGGCTTCATTAGCATAAAATCTCCTGGTGATTAAAATCTGAGAAAATTCTTTCTGCCATGCTTTTTACAAAGGTTCAGGACACCCCAAACATCCCAGTGACATTTCAGTTGTAGGAGCTTGTGCAGTTTACTTAGATGATGTAGGTGTGCTTCAAATAATCTCCAATCTAATTTAGAGGCTTCTGGAGAGGGTTAGTGCTTTCTCCAGCCTATGAGACTTTACAGCAGAGTACTAAGAGGAGATCCTGGAGATGCTGGGATGCTCTCTTTTAGGAAGCAGTATGTGCACCTTATAGCTGGTATCCATTCAGACCAGGCAATACCATACCATGTATCATGCATTACACACCATACAGTTTCCAAAGAGTAAGTGGGCTTGTTCTATGTGTTATGCATCTCTGCCTTTAATACCAAAGAAAAAAATAACTCTAAACGTGGAGAAAAATAAAGGAAATGGCACTTTTTAGTGGAAACCTTATTGCCTTCAGTAACAGATCACAGAAGTTGCTCATATACAGCAATCATGGCAACCAGCCTCAGGTGACTAAGTTCACAGCTGGCATCAGGCAGTGATGAAATCAAATAGCTACCCTGTTATAGGTATGTGATTTCTGCTGAGTCTCTTCACTCTTCTCTACCGTCAGGGAAAAGGGGTTGGACTTCCCCAGAGGTGATCAGAGTCTCATGATCACAGTTGCCTGTCTCCCTCCAGTGACTGCAGAGAGGAAGCAGGTGCCTGACCCGGGGTGGTGGATCCTCCCCTTCCTATGAACTTTATAGACATCTAACAGATTGCTCATGTGCTGGGAGTTCAGCAACACTTCAGCACTTGTATCTGCCCCGTGGAAATAGGCACTCAAATGTGTATATATAGCTTCCTGTGTTCAGAACAGATCCTTTCCTTGATTAGCTCCAGAGCATAATTAAAATATGCTGCCAACAGGACTTCCTGTTGTTATAAAAAATGTGCCTACAATAATCCACTTTTAAACGGGATATAATTCGTGGAAAGTCTTTATTACAACCCCTGTACCAACAACAGGTGAAACCCTGGGATCTGGGCTGGGGCTGTAAAGAAATGGAATTTCCTACCAACAGGGGAGAAAGTCAGGAGTTCTCCTTCGTGTGATACTGATATGATTTCTCTCCTGCCGTTCGGACTTCCCTGGGCACGGTGGCCCGGCTCGGGAAAGGTCTGTCCGTGCCTCGCCCACCTCGGGCTGCGGGAGCGGGCGGCCCCGACCGGCCCCACCCCTGCGGGGTAAGACATTAGAGTCCAAAACAGGGTTCAAGCTGGCTGGGTCAAGGGCCTGGAACTGCGAGGAGAACCCTCAGTGGTTTACAGGGGACAGAGAGGCAGGAGAACCGCAGGAGCTGACAGCCCTTGGAGAACGTGCACCAGCGGAGGGGAAAAATGACTGGAAAGAGAAAAGCCAAAACTTCTGTCTCTGCTGTGAAAGGGGAGATGTGAATGTCAGCCCTGGATGAGACAGCACAGAACAGCTCACCGCTGTTAAAGCAACAGCAATGGCTGTGCATTTTATTACCTAAAATATTCCAAATTTCCACAAACTTTTAAGAGAATAGAGAATCCAGTTCAGCTTTATTTTCCTAAAGAGTGCAGCAGCAACTCAGCTGTAGCTTCTTGAAAGAAGACTCCAATCAACTAAGCACTTAGAAACATTTTTGTTTTAAAGATTGGTATCATTAATATAGCACATTGTATAGTGCATTAATTCCTTCCTGTCACTTCAACTAATGTCAAAGATATCTATTAGCAGACTGTTCACAATTTCTGGCCTAAACCAATGGCCAAATCATTCTGCATTTCTTTCATAGTAATACAAAGTAGTAACAGAAGTTCAGCAAAACTAATCTGACAACTTGACCTTTCTTCTTTTTGTATCACAGAGTAGCTTATCTTTTGTCTCATCAGTGAAGACAAGTTTATGCATAGCTTTACAAGACATGTCCATGCTCCTTTAAATGAACAAATGCACAAGTGCTGGCAGCAAGAACTCAGGAGCTGCAGGGCCCTTCAGGCACTTGGGGATTTTATGCCAAGTATCTCAAGTACCTTGTGTCACAGCAGTGTGAACTGTAAAAATCTAAAAGTATGAACTGAAGAATTCATTCTTGATAGCATATTACATAGCCCTGTTGTGAGAAGCTGAGAATTGCCATGCAAAAATCCAGGAAAGGTATGCTGTTCCTAATCCCACTCAGCCAGTTTCCCAAAAAGGCAAATTTTTACAGATAGACAACCAGGATAAAAATTCAACAGCAAAGTGGAGCAGATTTCCCAGGAACAGAGGCTCACTAGACAGCCTGGGCAGTTTAGGTATGCTGATGGAAAGGATGCTAAAGAAGACTGGAACTAGTTTGAGGGAAGAAGATAAAAGAAAGTGGGATTATTTAATTAAAAAAAAAATAGGCAGAAAGACTACTTGCTTCTGGGGAAAAAAAAAAGAGCAGGGATTTCTGAGTTGTGTTACACAGCTCCAACTTTGAAGGCATGTGTGACTCTCAGCCAAGGCTTGGCAAACTGCTGCCTTTCAGTGCAGTGCCTTTCAGTGATTTGCAGTGATTAATCTTAAACTTCAAAATGGAAAAGGGCTCAGGTACTCAAAAGGAGGCTGCTGGTGCCCCTGGCCATCAATGTGAAGCATCAGGGTGTCTCATGTTCCTCCAGGGAATAAATATTGCCAATAGAGCTGAAGGATGTCCAGTCAGGAAGAAAACTTTGTTGCTGAATAAGCTGCAAATAAATTTTGTTTTCAAATAAAAATGAGCCTTTGTAAAAAGAAACAAAATAAAGTCTCCACAAATCTTAAAATCAGTATGGATCACGCATATCAAAGTAAAAGAGAAAATGAAGGAGAAAACAGTGCCAGGACTGTGTATTAGGAAACTAAATCTATATTTGTCCATGCAAAGAAGGCATTTTTTACCTCCATTTCAAAAAGTCAAATTAGAGAAAAGCTATGGATCTATGTGTCATTTTTTTTTATCATTTTAGACATCATTTCATGCCTCAAAGGAAGACTATATGAGTCAGCAAACTGATAATTATCTACTACTATCACCTAAACCAGGGTATTACAATGTCAGTAGTTATTCTTTGGAACAGTAACTCCTAGGATTTCCCTGATTGCCATCTTTCTTCAAGATAAAAGGCTAAAGCTGTCAAATTTGACACCACATGGTGTGCCCCATGACTTGCACAAATAATATTGAGAGTTTCCTCAACAACTGTGCCCCTAATACTCCTGTAATCATGCAGAAACTTGTAAAAGGTGATAATGATTTCCAAAAGTATGGCAGGGTTCATCTGTGCACTGCAAAACACTTACTGGCAGGTTTTATTAAACAAGAACTTCTTAATAAACTTCTTCTCTGTCCAGTCACACCCACAGAAGTCCTTTTCCAAAGAGCAGAGATCCAAAGCAACCTTAAAAACAGATGAAGGATCTCTCTGTAATGCTGCTGAAATCCATGCTCTCAGGATTCCTGGCTGGCTGCAGTGTGCCCTGCACCTACATTAT